GCGAATAATAGTAAAATATGTTTTAATTTTGTTGTAAAATAATGCACTACTTGATTTTTTTAAAATGATAATGTTACTGTTTCCAAATAATTTAAATCTTTGTTTTCACATTATTTATTTTGCACCACCGTCTAGGTCATTTGAATTCAATGAGTTCTTTCTTTCTTCTTTTTATTTCTTTCTTTGACTTCCGCAACAAAATGCCGCAACGCAGACGAACCAAGCGGGACATGTAGCCGAATAAAATAAAGTATGTTCACAGGCGAAGTGGACGTTTCGGAAGCTGTAGATGGAGACACTCGAATAGTAGGTGGCCAAGATGCCCCTCCAGGCACGGCAAAGTACCAAGTTTCAATTCGTATTCATATAGGAGAGAAAGAAGGGCACACTTGCGGAGGGTCTATTTTAAACGAAGAGTACGTGTTAACAGCCGCTCATTGCATTCATCGGTTAGTATATTTTTCGTTTCTATTAATATGTTATTTCATAGGAAAGCTAAAATATATAACTCAGTTTCAGTTAACATCTATTTTAATCATTTAAAATGTGTAAAAGTTATCATTTCATGTGGAAAGACGAACTTTAATGATGTGTTATAGATATACTTGAAATTACTTATAGGAAGCGAGCTGACCAGTTGTCTATAGTAGTTGGCAGTCAAGAATTCAATAAAGGCGACCAACGTTACAAGATTAAGAAATTGGTGCTTCATGAGAAGTATTATAGACGGTATCTAAGGAATGACATAGCCATCATGCAGATCGAAGGCAAAATCAAATACAACGATATGGTTCAACCAATTGAGTTGTTAAAAGAAATGGCACCTATTGGAAAGAAATGTCTCTTGACTGGCTTTGGATACACAGACTATGTGAGTAGATTCATATATTTTATTAACTAAACGTTTTTATAAATTTATCAGTTTTGTTATACAATTCTGCACTTACACCCTTATTTCGCTGAGTGTGTTTAAAAATAAATACAAGTAAAAGTTATTTTATTTAGGCAAAAGATTATCTTTTCTTTTGTTTTGCACCACTATTCGCTGTTCAAAAATCTGTAAGATTAGCTTTTAAGTTTTTAGTTTTTTTTTGTATTACTTTAGATAAAGATTCTATATTTTTTGAAGTGAAACTTCTTTATCGGGGTTGGAAAAAAATTTAGTGTAACATTTTTTCGTTACGCGTCACATTTTTCGGTTACGCGCCATGTTGCTTTTTGAAGTCAAACTTCTTTATCGGCGTTGGAATGAAAGTTCTTTATCGACGTATGGGAGAAATTTTGTAGCAAATCGTCACGTTTTTCGGTTACGCGCCATGTTGCTTTTTGAAGTCAAACTTCTTTATCGGCGTTAGAATGAATTTTTTATCGACGTATGGGAGAAATTTTGTAGCAAATCGTCACGTTTTTCGGTTACGCGCCATCTTTTTCTTGTCCCTACCACGGTTGATCCGAAGAGATTCGAAGCCATTAATAACAAAAAAAATGTGTGCGTGTACTAGATGTACACACGTAACAACTGAAACTTCTTTATGAGCTTATTTTTCGAAAGCAACTTTACAAATAATAGGTTAATCAAGTTAAATTAGATAAAGTTTAACAAAAGGCTTTTATTATCATAGGCATGAATACAAATACAATTATTTCATTTTGTATTACGTTGTAGGGACAAGAACAAGATGGCGCGTAACCGAATAATGTGACGCGTAACGAAAAAATGTTACACTACATTTTTTTCCAACCCCGATTAAGAAGTTTCACTTCAAAAATATATAATAACGATAACAATGATAGTAATAATTCTATTACAATTAATGAAATTCTGTAATAATCTTAGTAGAAATAAGGTAAAATGAAATAATTGTATTTGTATTCATGTCTATAATAATAAAAGCCTTTTGTTAAAAAATTTTTTAACCAATTTCGTTAAGTTGCATATAGTAGATCATTTTTCGAAAAATAAGGTCATAAAAGTTTCACTTATTACGTGTGTACACCTAGTACACGCACACATTTTTTTATATAACATTAGGTTCGCACTTCTTGCACTCATCATGTTTCTTTTTCAGTTTTTCTCTTACTAGGGTTGCCTGGAAGAGATCGCTTATTAGCGATAAGGCCGCCCGTTGCATCCCTTATAATTTTTATATATTGTGTTTCTTTAATGTTATTGCAACGAAGTGTTAATAAATAAATATGTTCCATATAATATATATATGGAACAAAAAAAAACTAAATAATAATATTAAATGAGTAACAAAATGATATTCAGCAGGGCTTGCATTATTTAAACATAGTTAAATTTATTCATTTTCACTATTTATAAAAACATTGAAACACTTAATTCTCTCTGTGATAGTCAAATGTTGCTTATTATTACAGGACAAGTTAACTGTACCAAAATATCTTCAAATGTTAGAGTTTATAACAATAAGCAATGACAACTGCACTGAACAATTAAAACGCTCGCCTTACCCGAGATATGTGCCCGTAGACGAGGGACAACTTTGCGTTCAGCGCCCGAAGAACAAAGGTGCATGCAAAGTAAGTAATTTGAAATTAAATTAAAATTGAATGTGCTTAAACATTTTTAATTAATCATAGTTTCACGTTACGATCGGGCTTCATCAAAATGGTTTTATATGGTTTTAGTACCTGAATAGTCTTCAAAAGGTTCGAATTTCTGTTTGCATTTAACACTTGCTCATACGGTGAAGTTAAAACATCGTGAAGGAATCATGATTTCTTATCCTGATGGATAAAGAAAACTGACCAACTAGACACCTATAAAAAAATGAGCAAATTCTTCGATCTGAGGCCATAACCTACAATAACACACTTTTGGATAATTGTTATTAATAAGGGAAGCAGATCAATAATTGTGCATAAACAATATAATACATTCCTGTAAATTAATACCTTTAAATGTTATCATTTCTCGTGCAGGGTGATTCTGGTGGACCTCTCGTCATTCAGGACGATAAGAACAAAACTCTTCAAATAGGAGTCGTGTCCTGGGGAGTTCCCCTGCAACGCCGACTTTCCTGATGTATTTGCTTCAGTCCATGGTTACTACGATTGGATACAGAGCAAAATTAAATAAATTATTAGATAATTCAAGATGGTCACATCTGATTAAAATAAATATCATTTGAAATAAAAGTATATTTATTATATGCAACATTTAAAAATACTACTTAATTTAAAAAAAAAAACATCAACGATTGTACATTAAGGAGAGTTAATGACCATTTGGAACAACACCTACGGGCTACGAGATGCCCAATCGTAAAAATGGCCAAAAGGTGCATTTAGGTAGTCAAAGTCTAATTTCAAAATGGCAAACAAATTTTTATGCTCGTAAAAGTTTTTGTTAATTAATCTGTAATTTTGATATTTGTATCAAAAATTATAAAAAAGAAATTGATGACAACTTGATACATTACGTCGTAACATGCGTATAAATAGCGCACCTTCGGAACTAAGCGCTGAAAAGAGGCTAATCATAAGGAGCAGTGTTGGCCTAATGGCTGTTCTGTCTAAATAATATGCATTTAACATTCGCTCTAACGGTGAAGGAAACTTTATGGGTCTAAGGAGAATCAGAAGGCTGATCGCTCTGCTGATCACTTGCCTTTTAGAAAAATTTATACAGACATCGTAATCTAAGGCCAAAATGGTTGTTGCGCCTTTGATTTTGTAAGTGTAGCTGACGATCTCGCTAAGTTAAATTGTATTTAATGTTGTTGGTGGAGGATATCTATTCTTACCAGGGCCTTTCAGTGATCGAAATTACCCTGAGCACACCATATCACAATGCAAAAAATAGCTAGCAGCATTAAGCAAATTTTTACTAACTAGAAAAACGTACGATATTAATTATACTAAAAGTAATAGGCTGAATTCAAAATATGCGTATTTGAAAAACTAACAACTAACTACGACACATATTTTCCTTTATTGAGATTTTCATCGGAGGTGAATTTTCCTTTTTCAGCGATTAATAAGGTTCTTACCAGTTCTTCTCGTTCTACGCCCTTGATTGAAAGCATTAAATGTAAATAAAGAAACATTTTTTTTTTATAAATATAAAGGATATTTGATTTTGATTTCGTGTATTGTTTCGACGATAAAATAGTAATATTTCAAAAATTGTCTTTATTTCGTTGTATGCTCATTTCAAATATTTGTATTTCATATTATTCTAATTACAAAGTATATTTTTATAACTTAACATAACATATAAATAGGCTTATATTTGAACGTTTCGGATATAATTATAAATTTATAGGCAACAGAGAAAATTAATTGTGTTCGTTATCTCATTAAGATATATAAGATAATTAACACAAATTACAGATTGATTATTGTATTTTAAACTAGAACAATGGAGATTAGACGCGGTATTTGATTGTTCTAAATTATTTGTCTTTGTCATTATGAAACAGTAGATATATTTATGAATAAAATTAGTTTTAATTTAATTTCATTTTTTTTTCCTTTTAAAGAAATAAAAAGTTATACTTTGTAAATAGGGTATTTTATCATTTTAAACTATTTGTCATTTTAAGTCGCAGTATTTAAAAAAATAACTACATAAGATGATTTTTTTCTTATGCAAAAACATATAATTATACTAAAATTTATCTCGAGACATCATTGTTTAAAGCGTCTAGTCCAGTTTAGGTTTGATTCCCGCTAAAATGAATATACATTTGATCACATACCTTAGCAAATAACCAGTGAAAGATGCTAGGAATAGTAGACGATAACAATACGAGGGGTGGTTGGGTGAAAAAACAAATCACATAATTTACATTAATATACTGATGATGTGGTCATTTTCATTGCAAGTTTAGTGTGATAAAATAATAAAGACACATGGGAAAATAACACAGTAAACAATTTAAAATGACTTTATTGAAATTTCAGGTTCATTGAAAAATAATGACTTGCTTATCATTCGTGAAGAATGAAAAAGTTTCTGTGATAACACAATTTTAAGTAGGTATTGGAAGTTTTCCAATAGTCGTAGAAATCCAATCCAGGTACTTATAAACCCTGGTGAATACATCTGGCACCCCTCTACCACATGGAATGTTCCAGGATGTTATTCCATGTACAGTACCATTATGGACAAGAGCGCCTCCAGAATCACCCTGCAATAAATTAATAAAAATCGTTTTTAATAAATCTGGGCGTTAACTAATCGATGAAGTTAGGTACTTATGTAAATGTTTAAAAAAATTACTTTGTTAATACAAAATCACTTTTATTTGTGTCGCTGATAAATTCGTCCAACTGATTTACTTATGTGTTATATGTATGTATATGTGTATTTATTACTCATTAATTATTTACTTACTTGACAAATGCCTTGGCGAACATCTTTGTAAGTGCAGAGCAGTTTATCAGTGATTGGGTTCCATCTTTCCTCCTTTTTAAGTTTACTCTCTTGACATTCTTTTACTGTTAGTGATTTCACAGTCAACTTTTGCATTCTTTTGGGTCGTGTGCGATAATTCTATAAAAGAAAAATGAAACTCATTTAAAATACCTGTCAACGTTTTTTAAAAAGTACCAATAGCGCTAGCCGTGGTCTTGGTCTCATATTCTTGTGTCTGTCGTGATCATTCACCGTACTCGCGCATGTAAAATGCGATACAGAAATATCGATTGGATATATAGGAAAACTACATCAAAGATGAGTCGCAGGGTCTATTCGTATATTCGTAATATAGTGTTCGTATAGTGTTTATTGAGATAGGGCATTAAAGATACATATCAGAATTAGCCTTGTAGACTAAAATTAGGACAGCTGTCTGATCACGACGTGTATCTCGTTCGTATGTATATTGACTTTTTAATGTAAAATTAAAATTTTGAGATGAGAAATAAATTAGTCGATAAATGCGTGAACATCTCAGAACTGAACTACTGTACTTTAATAAAACCTGTTAGGGATCAGGGAAGTTCTCATATGAAATTTTCTCCATATATAGACATATACCTACGATATATGTATATAATTACACTCAATAATTACAAATTCAAGTAACATATATAGCACTTACGTCAATATATCCAAATCCAGCTATTATCAAATTGAGTCCGCCTGGAGTGTCCTCTGTCGGCAATTTAACTAAACCAACTTTCTACCCCAACTGTATTTGTCTGTTCACTAGAATAAGACTTATGTCGTTCGCAAATGAAGTGCGGTTGTAGTTTTCATGATTAATGTATTTATCAATTTTGTATTTCGCACCGCCACTCCAAATATCGTTTGTGCCGACTACTTCTTCTATTCTATCTATGGGGTAGCTAAAAATAGTTTTAATTATATACATGTGTCATTGGTCTGCCAGTTATAGGACAGAGATTATCCTTGTGTACTGTATCTTATCACATTACAACTTTATTTAATTATAATAATTATTATCTATACTAAAATTATAAATTTTAAAAATCCAGCCATGTCGTGACAGGCTGCTAGTGAGAAATACATACTCTAGCATGCAATGGGCTGCAGTCATCACCAACCAATGGGAGATTATAGAGCTTCCACAGAAATGGATCAGCGTATTTCGGTAATCGTAAACTCTCAATGAAGCCAGGTATGGGAACTCTCCTTCAGCAGCCTCCGTTCCTCCTACTATCTTCGGAACTACTTTCGAAGCTAAAAAAATTTATTTTTTAATTTATTTATTTTTCTATCTCAGCGCTTGAGTCACGCTTGATCTCAGTTAAAAGATAAACGACTCAAATAATTAAATCTTATTACGAATAACATTTAATTTTTTGTATAATGGTTAATTTATGCTAATCATTTTATGAACTTCATAAACAGTCCTTTAAATAAACCTACCTTGTGTCGACCATATCAACACGCAGAGAAGCGCCAAGTACCGCAACATGATGATATGTATATTGATTCTAGAATAAAATCGAAATTTAAATGTATGCGACAATACAATAATAATAAGTGCTGTTTAAAATGGAAATTATGTTTTTTTTAAGTTTTTTTAACTTCAATTTGTTTTACGTTATTTAACATCCTGCCAAACTAATGAGTCATTAAATATCGTTTAAGGTTTATGGCCCGATTATGTTTTAGAGGAAAAGTGAAGAAAAAAAGACACTTATGTTTTAAAAAACCGCACTTGCACATCTGAGACTTAAGAAAATAAAGTATTTAAAACATTAAAATTGAAATTAGAAGAAATGTTTTTACTTTGTGTAATACTTTAATTACTAGGTCTTAATTGCAATACAATTCTTGTACACGCCACGTAATTATGAAATAAATAAAATCTTATATTTTAACTTAATTAACAATTTTCTGTTTTTCTAATCTTATGATTGATATATATTATCATTTACCTAATAACTTATTTAACCTGCTTGTTTTTGTTTTGTATATGTATGATTTTGTATATTATGGTAACGAAGTGTAAATAAATAAATAAATTTACTAGCAGTATTCGCTGTTTGACCGGCCATGATTACGCCTAGCATGTTGTGGAATAACCTAGCTTTCGCAATTATATTAATAATCCAACACAAAAAGAATTTATTTGCAATTTCATAATATATTAAATAATTTTATAAATCTTTTACACACCTTTATAATTTAGTAACACAATTCAAGGAAACAAATTATTTTGTACAAAGAAAAATTAATTTGTTATTTTCCAAGTCAAGCCAATGATAATTACAAAATTGTAATTAAAAACGAAATAATAGATGTTAAAAAAAACTATTGGCATTCGATATCAGTGTTTTCAAAATTAATTAAAAAAAAATCCACACAGAATAATATTATACATTAGACAAAAAGCATCCTTGCTCCGCTTCATCTTGTTGAATCGCAAATCTTATTTTATATTTTGTCAGGATTTCATAATTATTTAAATAAGTTCTTTGTCACAAGGTGCACCATTTATTTCGTATTACATAAAGTATAAAAATACTTCTACAAAAAGCTTACCACGCTTTTACAATATATATCACTTTAGGTATTTACACTGAATCAGCCACATCTAGCACAATCTATCGGGTACAATTACTGTCACCTTCATATGATTTCTGGAGACATATATATCTAATATATAAAATTCTCGTGTCGCGGTGTTTGTGGTTAAATACCTCCGAAACGGCTTGACCGATTCTCATGAAATTTTGTGTGCATATTGGGTATAACTGAGAATCGGACAAGATCTATTTTTCATCCCCCTAAATGTTAAGGGTAGACCACCCCTAATTTTTTGTTTTTATTTTTTTTATGATACAGCATTAAAAAATACATACAACCCCTAATCTTCACCCCTTTACGATCAACCCCTATTTTTTATTATAAATGATAAACATGGCAAAACGACGTTTGCCCGGTCAGCTAGTATATATATATGATTAAAAAATAAAAATAAAATAAAAAAATCAGTGGCACTACAACCTTTTTTGGTCTGGGCCTTAGACCTCAGACTAGGGTATATGTTTCGTGATCATTTGTCAATCTATCGGGCAAATAACAGCCTTCTGTGCCTGACACACGCCGTCGACTTTGTGGGTCTAAGGCAAGCAGGTTTCCTCACGATCTTTCCTTCACCGTTCGAGCGAACGTTAAATCTCCAAATAGAAAGAAAGTCTATTGGTGCGCAGCCGGGGATCGAACGTACGACCTCAGGGGTGTGAGTCACACGCTGAAGCCACAGCTCTTCATAAATAAACAATGAGCAAAATTATTGTACTCACCCCGTACAAGACAAGAGTATGACTAAATTTAAAACTATATTTTAAAAACTTTATCAACTAAGTATGTAAATATATATGAATCAAGGAACAATAAACTCATGATAATGTCCTTACGACGGACAATTGTGTGCCTTTGTTCATGTTAAGAATTGATCAAAACGAGGTATGTACTACTATTTTAAGTTATAATAGTGTATCAATGGCCAACCGAACCGATATTTGTGGTTTATTGTGTTAATTGTCTATTATATTGTCCATTGTATTGGCTCTTTTTATATGACAAAAATAATGTTTAAACTTATATGTAATTTGTTCAATTATTAATTACAGAATTATGGTATTTATCGTTATAGCAAACTCCGTAAATTATATACTTAACATTTCATGTTGGTGGCTTTTATTCTTAAATGGCTTTAAGCATTTTATGTATAAATCTCTTTTTTGTATCAATGGAGGTGGTATTAGATGTCTTTGCAATTTATTTTTCTAGGTAGTTTATTTCATCAAATATATTAATTCAAAGAGTTTAGTGAAATAATATACCAAGGGTCACTCGACAGCCGATGCCGGTGTTAAGTTATATAGATATATAGTTAAGGCTTGGGAGGAGTCGCATGACGCTTTAGGTGTTTTCTGCGACTTATCCAAAGCATTTGATTGTGTCCAACACGAGACCTTAATCGGGAAACTCCGCCACTATGGCATCAAGAATACCGCACTGAATCTTCTGACTTCCTATCTACACGGAAGAACTCAGAAGGTTCAAGTGAATGGTAAGAGTTCCTCTGGGTCGGCAGTAGATATGGAGGTAACACAGGGCTCAATTCTTGGCCCTTTCCTCTTTCTTGTTTATATAAATGATCTACCTTTCATGGTAGAGAGAAAACATAAGATAGTTTTGTTTGCTGATGACACGTCCTTGATTTTTACAATCAAACGACAAATAACAAATTTTGACGATGTGAACAATGCTCTATATTCGATTGTCCATTGGTTTAATATAAATAGCCGTCTACTTAATGCAAAAAAACAAAATGTATTAAATTTTGTGCAAAATATGCAAGGGTTATGGATACTAGAACAATTATAAACGGTGTGGAATTGAATCTGGATGATACAACTGTATTTCTCGGAATCACCATGGATTCAAAACTTCAGTGGTCCCCTCATATTAACGGATTGGCGAAGAGACTTAGTTCTGCAGCCTACGCGGTTAAAAAAAATTCGCTCACTAACTGATGTCGATACAGCTAGACTTGTTTATTTTAGTTACTTTCATAGCTTAATGACTTATGGCTTATTATTATGGGGTCATGCTGCTGATGTCGAAACTATTTTCATCCTGCAGAAGAGGGCTATTCGTGCAATCTATAATTTAAAATGTAGGGAATCTCTTAGAGATAAATTTAAGGAAATTAATATACTACCCTTCCCTCACAATATATTTATGAAAATATTATGTATGTATACAAAAATAGTGATAAGTTTACTAGAATAGAACATACGCACAATGTTAATACACGGAACAAACGCAGGCTGCAATTTCCCCGTACTAGACTATCTAAAGTTAGTCCGCACCTCCGAGCGTGTTCGACACTTGCGCGGTCGCTACGGCGACCGTATATGGAAAAATGTATAAAAGAGGACGCATACGCACCCATCGTCGAAACGGTGTGCGCAGCGTCGTGTTGGATTTTGTCCCTCAAGCTCCGGGCGTTGATCGTATCTAGTGCGTAATGCCAGCCGAGTTATTAATATGTTGCAATAACGTATTAAATAAAAGTTAAGAAGTTGCGTTTAGATGAATGTTCAATTTTCAAACTGTCACAATATCGATACGCGAGAGATCGCGGTCGTGTTTGATGCAGTTTTATGTCCCTCACAGTGGTCGAGCATCGTTGTACCGCGGCCGTCCCGTCGCGGACGGCCGCGAGACCGGTCAGAGTCTGTCTATCGAATTGAAGCGCGAACGTCGCGTCGTTTGCAAATTCGACGCGTTACGTTCACGCGTGTCGAGTACGCGCGCGAGCGCGTCTCGACGCCGCCGAGCTATACGGCCCGCCGAAGCCGCGTCTCGCGGTGTAGGCGAATCGTTTGCGTAAGCAGCTCCCTGGTTGATCCTGCCAGTAGTTATATGCTTGTCTCAAAGATTAAGCCATGCATGTGCAATAGGCGTATGATGATGGACTTTTTTGTGCATAACAGAGCACTGGCTAAAAAAATATGAAGTGATGTTTAATTTTTGTAACCACAGGGTTGGTAGTGTGTTTTGCAGAGCAATTCATGGTGGCTCATTAATCCTAATAAGTAAAAAACTTAAATGCAAAGAAAGAAAGGATATTATCAGCCTCTCTGTAGAACTAACTATTGAAATCTCCTGTGTGGAACTGGAGCAATTCATTGTTGTATGTCTATATTGTCCTCCATCAGCTGTCTATAATAATGTTGAAAATGTATTAGAGGAGATATTGTGTAAATTAGTAAAGTGTAATAAAGGGCTAATTGTATGTGGGGACTTTAATGTCAATTTACTTTGTCATTCGAATTCAAGTGTACGCATACTTAGTCTTTTTCGTTCATACAATTTAATAAATCAATTTCATTCACCCACAAGAATAACAGCTAGCACCGCAACTTGTATAGATAATATATATAGTGACATAGCCCCTTTGAATGTTTGTATTTTTAATAGATTTAAATCTGATCACACTGGTCAATGGTTTGAATTCCAATTAAGGAAACAAAAAACATGTAAAAAGAAGAAAATTGTGATAACTCCTATTACAAATGACCGTTTGGACAGATTTAGAGAAGCATTGGTCTATAGGATGCCATTTCTGTGTGGCAACTCATCCCCTAATAATTTATACAATACTTTTTTTGGATCATTTATTGATGAATTCAGGAAAGTATTTACTCAAAAGACTTTATTGGTCTCAGAGAAAACAAGTTTCTGTGACTGGGCAAATGAAGAGTTACACAGGAATAGGTTAAAATTATATGAAATGTATGACGAAATGCAATATAACACTAGTGTGGAATTTAGGGAATATGTTAGGTTGTATTCAAATAATTTCAAAAAAGATTGCAAAATTGCAGTCACAATATTTAAGTTCAAAAATAAAAAATAGCATGGATAAAGTAAAAGCTACATGGAAAATAATAAATGAAGAATCAGGTAAAACGTCTGACAAACGAACTGATTATATGTTAAAAGTCAAAGGGAAATTAATAAAATCTGACCCAGAGGTAGCTTCTTCTTTTGAAGAGTTCTTTACAAATGTACCACTAAATACGACCAAGTCTCTAGATTGTTCACCTGCTGCTGCGATCTCATTGCTAGAAAAATGTGTACCTGAATGTAATATTAAATTTCAGTTTAAACATATAACTTGTAATGATATCGTTAAAACTTTTAAGCTTATTAATTTAAAAAAAAGTAAAGATATATGGGGTATGTCAACAGTCATTTTAATTTCCGTTATTAATGTAATAAGCTCTGAATTGTCTATAATTTTTAACAGATGTATCGATTGTGGAGTCTTTCCGGACGAAATGAAATTAAGTAAGATCCGTCCGATCCGTAAAGAAGAAGTCTGATCCGTCAAACTTCAGACCTGTTTCCGTGCTCCCTGCGTTGAGCAAAGTTTTTGAAAAGATAATGCTAGACCAGCTTTCTTTACATTTTAATAAAAATAAACTCTTACATAATAAACAGTATGGTTTCACTTAGGGTTGCTCCACAATCGATGCCGGTGTGAAGTTGATTTCGGACATATTTAACGCCTGGGAAGAATCATATGATGGAGTCGGCGTCTTTTGTGCCTGTCAAAGGCCTTTGACTGTGTTCATCCTGATATACTCGTTGGAAAGCTTCAACACTATGGCGTTGATGGCAAAGCTTCCAGCCTGATGAATTCATATTTAAAGGGAAGGATCCAAAGAGTTCATGTCAATGGAGTCACCTCTCCGGGTTCGCAGGTATCAATGGGCGTCCCCCAAGGATCGATTCTCGGGCCTTTCTTATTTCTAATTTACATAAATGACCTCCCATTCTTTGTCAACGAAGTTCATGAGATGGTATTGTTTGCTGATGACACTTCACTTCTATTTAAAGTGAATAGGAATAACGTATTATTGGACGATGTAAACAATTCTATCTCTCGTATAGTTAACTGGTTTAATGTAAATAACTTACTGCTAAACGAGAATAAAACAAAATGTATTCGATTTACAACTACTAGCGTAAAGCGAGATATTGGTAACCTGAAAATAAAGGACAGTGAACTAAACTTTGTTGACAAAACTGTTTTTCTAGGCATAACAATAGATAGTAAACTCCAATGGGGCCCACACATAGATACTCTTTCGAATAGGCTGAGCTCTGCAGCATATGCAGTAAAGAAAATCCGACAGTTTACTGATAAGGACACGGCAAAAATTGTTTATCATAGCTACTTTCACAGCGTTATGTCGTACGGTATTCTACTGTGGGGTGCTGCTGCAGAGGTTCAATCCATATTTGTGCTGCAGAAGCGGGCTGTTCGGGGTATTTGTTGTGTTTCTCCGAGGGAGTCGGTACGGAATAAGTTTAAGGAATTAAATATTATGACAATATATTCTTGAAGCCTTGTTGTATGTCCAAAAAAATATAAACGATTTTAAAACAAATGGTGACTTTCACCAGTATAATACGCGAAATAGAACTAATTTGAGTATAAGACCAACCAGGCTCCAAAAGATAAACCACTCCTTATATGGAAATTGTATTCGTTTTTACAACAAACTCCCAAGCGAAATTAGACTATTATCACTAAATAAATTCAAAGCCCTCGTTAAACGAAAATTAATCAACAAAGCTTTTTATAAATTTGAGGACTACTTAAATGATCCTAATCCTTGGGATTGAATTGCTCCAGTTCAAACAATTTGTATGACAATACTTGGCGATTAAAAAGAGTGGCGGAAAGTTTCTTGCCAGTTCTTCTTACCCGCTCTACGCCCTTGACTTGCGAACTGGTAGTAAATGTAAATTTACGATTAATTTAACTTGACGATTCAAAAGTGTACTTGGTTACCCACTTGAATAAAGATATTTTGAGTTTGAGTTTGAGTTTGATTGTGCAAGCCGTATTAAGGCGATACCGCGAATGGCTCAATATATCAGTTTTGGTTCCTTAGATCTTACTCAGTTAATTGGATAACTGTGGTAATTATAGAGCTAATACATCAATCAGAACTCTGACTAGTGATGGGATGAGTGCTTTTATTAGATCAAAACCAATCGGCGGAGGGCCTAGCGTCCGAAGTCGTTAATTTTGATGAATCTGGATAACTTTTGCCGATCGCAAGGTCCAGTACCGGACGCATCTTTCAAACTGAGATCAAGCCTGACCCAAGCGCTGAGATAGAAAAATAAATAAATTAAAAAATATATTTTTTAGCTACGAAAGTAGTTCCGAAGATAGTAGGAGGAACGGAAGCTGCTGAAGGAGAGTTCCCATACCTGGCTTCATTGAGAGTATACGATTACCGAAATGTGCTGACCCATTTCTGTGGAAGCTCTATTATCTCCCATTAGTTGGTGTTGACTGCAGCCCATTGCATGCTAGAGTATGTATTTCTCACTATCCTATCACCAAATGGCTGGATTTTTAAAATTTATAATTTTAGTAAAGATAATAATTATTATAATTAAATAAAGTTTTAATGTGACAAGAAACAGAACACAAGGCTAATCTCTATCCTATAACTGGCAGACCACTGACACATGTATATAATTAAAACTATTTTTAGCTACCCCAAAGATAGAATAGAAGTAGTAGTCGGCACAAACGATTTTTGGAGTGGCGGTGCGAAATACAAAATTGATAAATACATTAATCATGAAAACTACAACCGCACTTCATTTGCGAACGACATAAGTCTTATTCTAGTGAACAGGCAAATACAGTTGGGAGAGAAAGTTGGTTTAATTAAATTGCCAACAGAGGACACTCCAGGCGGACTCGATTTGATAATAGCTGGATTTGGATATATTGACGTAAGTGCTACCCGAAGCTTCCACTTTGAACTATATATGTTACTTGAATTTGTAATCATTGAGTGTAATTATATACATATATCGTGGGTATATGTCTATATATGGAAAAAATGTCATATTACAACTTCCCTGATCCCTAACAGGTTTTATTAAAGTACAGTAGTTCAGTTCTGAGATATTCACGCATGTATCGACTAATTTATTTCTCATCTCAATTTTTTTTATTTTTTACATTAAAAACTTAATATATATACGAACGAGATACACGTCGCCATCAGATAGCTGTCCTAATTTTAGTCTACAAGGCTAATTCTGATATGTATCTTTAATGCCCTATCTCAATAAACACTATACGAACACTATATTACGAATATACGAATAGACCGTGCGACTCATCTTTGATGTAGTTTTCCTATATATCCAATCGATATTTCTGTATCGCATTTTACATGCGCGAGTACGGTGAATGATCACGACTGTATCTGATCGTAATCTGAGACCAAGACCACGGCTAGCGCTATTGGTACTTTTTAAAAAACGTAGACAGGTATTTCAAATGAGTTTCATTTTTCTTTTTAGAATTACCACACACGACCCAAAAGAATGCAAAAGTTGACTGTGAAATCACTAACAGTAAAAGAATGTCAAGAGAGTGAACTTAAAAAGGAGGAAAGATGGAACCCAATCACTGATAAACTGCTCTGCACTTACAAAGATGTTCGCCAAGGCATTTGTCAAGTAAGTAAATAATTAATGAGTAATAAATACACATATACATACATATAACACATAAGTAAATCAGTTGGACGAATTTATCAGCGATACAAATAAAAGTGATTCTTAATACAAAGTAATTTTTTAAACATTTACATAAGTACCTAACTTCATCGATTAGTCAAACCCCAGATTTATTAATAACGATTTTTAATAAATTATTTCAGGGTGATTCTGGAGGCGCTCTTGTCCATAATGGAATAACATCCTGGAACATTCCATGTGGTAGAGGGGTGCTAGATGTATTCACCAGGGTTTATAAGTACCTGGATTGGATTTGTACGACTATTGGAAAACTTCCAATACCTACTTAAAATTCTGTTATTACAGAAACTTTTTCGTTCTTCACGAATGATAAGCACGTCAATATTTTTCAATGAACCTTTATTATTTTGAAAATGACCACATCATCAGTATATGAATGTAAATAATTATGTGATTTGTTTTTTAACCCAACCACCACTCGTATTGTTATTCTCTACTATTCCTAGCATCTTTCACTGGTTATTTGCTAAGGTATGTGATGAAATGTATATTCATTTTAGTGGGAATCAAAACTAAACTGGAGTAGACGCTTTAAACAATGATGTCGAGAGATAAATTTTCGTAAAAGGATATGTTTTTGCATAAGAAAAAAATCATCTTATGTAGTTATTTTTTAAATACTGCGACATAAAATGGCAAATAGTTTGTAATGATCAAGTACCCTATTACAATGTATAACGTAGTTATTTCTTTAAAAGGAAAATTAAATTAAAACTAATTTTATTCATAAATATACTGTTTCATAATGAAGAGACAAATAATTTAGAACAATCAAATACCGCGTCTAATCTCCATTGTTCTAGTTTAAAATTCAATAATCAACCTGTTATTTGTGTAAATTATCTTAAATGATAATTAAATGATAAATTGAATGATAACGAACACAATTAATTTTTTCTGTTGCCTATAAATTTATAATTATATCGGAAAATACATTCAAATATAAGCCTATTTTCAGAGTTACGATAAAATAAGTAATAATAACTTTTTTATGAACCATTATAAGACAGATAATGAGTTATGAAAATATGCTTTGAAATTAGAATATTATGAAAAACAAATATTTGAAATGAGCTACAACGTAGTAAAGATATTTTTTTAAATATTACTCTTTTATCATCGAAACAATACACGAAATCAAAATCAAATATCCTTTATATTTATTTAAAAAAAATGTTTCTTTATTTACATTTAATGCTTTCAATCAAGGGCGTAGAACGAGAAGAACTGGTAAGAACTTTATTAATCTCTGAAAAAGGAGAATTGACCTCCGATGAAAATCTCGATGAAGGAAAATATGTGTCGAGTTTTTCAAATACCCATATTTTGAATACAGCCTATAACTTTTAGTATAAATATCGTACGTTTTTCTAGTTCGTTAGTAAAAATTTGCATAATGCTGCTAGCTATTTTTTGCATGGTGATATGGTGTGCTCAGGGTAATTTCTTTTTTTAAAACTACGACTGATGTATTTTCTGAACCACTCCATAAATCTCTCAACACATGGATATAATCTTCCCACTTCCAAGGATAGTGGGGGGCACTGAAGCTGCTGAAGGAGAGTTTCCGAATCACGTCTCGTCGTAAGAGTGTTTTTATTATTATAAACAGATTATTAATATTTAATCACAGATTTCAATAAAGAGATAATGTCGATCACTGAAAGATCGAGAAAGAAAGAGAATCGATCACCTTATTCTCTGATCTGGTTTCTTGGGATGGTCATTATCATCATCAGCCGTTCTGTGATGTGATGACAATGATGATGTTAATGTCCGTTGTAGTGAATACCAAAACTGTTGGTCTTCTTATTCCAAACAATTGTATATTAATAATAATAATATACAATTGAACTTTACGGTTATAATAAACGAGATAGTTCGCTACACTTAAAAAATCAAAGGCACTACAACCATTTTGGCCTTAGATAATGATGTCTGTTTTGATTTTTCTCAAAGGCAAGTGATCAGCAGAGCGATCAGCTTCTGATTCTCCTTAGACCCATAAAGATTCCTTCACCGTTAGAGCGAATGTTAAATGCATATTATTTAGACAGAACAGCCGTTAGGCCAACACTGCTCCTTAATTACACTTAGCCGCTTTTTAGTTGCCAGATGCTGATGATTGTAAGTATAAATCGTACTTTAAAATAGCGCGCATTTTATAGTACGACGTCATGTATCAAATTATCATGAATTTCTCTTTTATAATTTTCGATACATAATTAAATATTACCGATGAATTAAGGAAAAATTATAATGCTCGATTTTGGCCGCCATTTTGAAATTAGACTTTGACTACCTAAAATAAATGCACCTTGCATTGGGCCATTTTGGCGATTGGGCTTGTGGGCATCTCGTAGGACGTAGGTGTTGTTCCAAGCATTTTTTTTTAATATTGTGTGGTTTACTAGATAAACTCATGGTATAATAGAACAAGTAGATTGGTTTCAAAGAATTCATGTCGTATATATGTCACCGTAAAATTGTAAACACCGTTAGATTGTAATCTCGCGAGATAGATTACAATCTAACGGTATTTACAATTTTACGTTAACATATTATATAAGTTGTCATCAGTGTCGTGCTTATTATGTTTGAAAATGTATAAACAAGGATTTTTATCTATCATCGTTATTGATATAGCTTTATAAAGTATTTACAATTTTCTTAACAATAATCCTTACCTTAAAATATATTATTAAAAGGAGTCCCTTTAGGCAAGGTTCTGAAGATACTGGCAGCGTTCCCCCTTTGAGTAGCTAGACTAATTCTTTGTCCGAGGTAGCTGCCAGCTCTTCGGTCTTCTGTGATGTCGACTAATTGTATATAATGATTAATTCCCATACGTCACAGACCCATACTAGACGTCTACGATACGGGTAGGATCAAAGGATCAAGGTGGTGGGCTTATCTCAAAGCTATCAGGCAGGCTCTTCACGCGAATTAAGTGATTAAGAAAAGAGAAAGCTAGAAAAAAATAACACAGAGCAATATTAAATTCTTATTTATTGGTATAAAACAACATCTTCAATAGTCTCCGAAGAAAGAAAATCTTGAATTTTTGGTGTAAAAATTCGAATGAACTAAGTAACGTGAATAATTAGCCCTTGAATATCGCAATATAAATGGGTATTTTAAATTAAATAATTTGAAATTACTTTTTGCCAAGTTTTAATTTTTTTTTTAAATAATTACTACTCAACCTTGATATTGATGAGAAATTTATAATATACCTAAATGTTTCTTAATTTCCATGACTTTAAAAAATTATTTTATTTAAATTACACAAAAATTTCGGAATAATACGTTTTTAGAGTGAACACATTTTTGAATTCATCAATAAGTGAATCAAAAAATGTGCTATATAAATTATTAAATCAAAATTCAAGGTCTAAAATCATTTATTCATGTAGGTAACACAATGTACACTAATTATGAACGACAAAAAAGAAGTCCGCGCGTCGTGACGCGTGAACCAAGCCATCCCACGCGGTTCCCCCTTTTGCTCAATACAATCCCTAGACTCAACTCCGCGATACGGAGGACCCTCCCAGTCTCACGTCAGAGGTCTTCACGCATCTGCCAACCAAAGCGCCAACTACGGCGTCTCTCCAGACGCCCACGACGAAGCCCGGCCGTAGCCCAATCGATGAAGTTGGCGTCTACACGCCACATCGACAAGGTTAAACAACATCGCAACCCGTTGGTGCGTAAAAGCATCAACGACTACAATGCATGAAAAAACATTGAGTAACACACATACAATTCGATAATATTTAGCGATATTATTGAACACCAATAGTAATTTAAATTTTTTTTTTAATTATTTCCGTCGTTTGCATATTTTCCATTAAATTATGTATATTTTTAGTATAAATATGGAGTAGACAATTATAAATTTCAAAGCAAGGGCAGGACTACAAGGAAAATGTTTCTCCATTTTGCAATACTACTTCTTATGTCCCATGGACTTCTTGGTAAGATAAATTTTATTTAATTAATACTTATTTATGCCCAATACTGTGAAAACCCCCGACTGTGGTCTTACGAAGGATACAAACACGACTGGAACAGCAAGTCAAATGGCGTAATATGTTTGGTGAATACACAATTTTCAATTTATTTTTTAAATGATGGTGTTACAGTTCGTAAATATTCTAAATCCTTATGAGAAATTATAACTTTGCACCATGTGGACCGTCATTTTAATTCAATGTATTACTTTCTTTGGCTTCCGCTAGAAAATAATTGTTATGACGTGCCCCGTGCACAGTATATTAAACGAACACGCAGGAACCGTAGCCGTATAAAATAAAGTTCGTTCACAGGCAAAATGGACGTTTCGGAAGCTATTGATGGAGACAGCCGAATAATAGGTGGCAGTGATGCCCCTCCAGACATGGCTAACTACCAAGTTTCAATTCAAATTAATAGCGAAAACAAAGAATGGCATGTTGACGGAGGGTCTATTTTAAACGAAGAGTACGTGTTAACAGCAGCTCATTCTTTTAATGAGTGAGTATATTCTTAGTTTCCAATATAATATTATTTATTTGTATGAGTTAACATATAAAAGCTCCTTCCTCTGCGTATGCTTGCTCGCAAGCCTGGTTTGCAAGAAATGACAATAAACCTACTTTAATGATAGTTTATTGATTAAAAAAAGGGTGCGTGTACTTATGTACGCGCGTAAGAAGTTATACTTCTTTGGCATTATTAAAAATAGTTTTTGATTGCATGCAAATAATTAATTACAATTAAATAATCAAAGACTGGAAAAGGAGTCATTAAAGTCAATAAAGTTCAGTTTACATTTGAAAAATTAATTAAATAAATATTTATTATTATTCTCTTACATTAAACAAATAAAACACTATTTATCTTTAAAACATTTTTATTTCATTATACTATTTATTTTTAAGTGACTCTAATGTCTTCATCAGAATTTCGGTTTGTAATTTTAAATTAATCATTACTTGGTTGTGCATCTACGAGGCTTCTCCAAAACTACTTGCTTTCTGCAACAAATAAGAGAATATTAATTTAAGCTCTGTCCATGCAAAACTTAAAAATTTTTATAATTCATATTATAAATTTTTTAACACTTGTGTAACAAAATGTGTTAATAATATAATTTGTAGCACATGCTACAGACCTGGATAGCAACTTTCTTTTATTCTATTTAGAGATAGAGATAATTTAAATATAATACCGGTGTCTTCCTTGTAGGTTTCTTTGGAGTTGTTTGGGGATTCTTGTTGTTCAGTTCGACATGATTTTCTTTAACCTTTCTTTAATCCTACAAAATAATGAAATTGTTAAGTTATGTTGTCACTGTTGTGCACACCTTTGTTTGGCTTTTTAGTATTCAAGTTATGTCAAAACTGATTTATTACCTTGTCATTGTTGGCTTTATTTGCTTTTGGGATATCAATTATTTCCAAAATGATTTTATTTGTAATAACCTGAAATATATAAATAACATCTATTAATTTAAGTATCATGGTGAGTGGTTCGCACTCAGGTATTAAGGTGTATTATACCCACTGTCCATTATAAGTGGGAATGGGCTCACTTCTGGCAGGACAGAGTTTCGGTACTACAAGTGCAACATGGATGTTTTGAGGTATTACAATATCTCTAACTACCCTGTAGGGGAATAAAGTAATGTTGTAAGCATATGCCTATGCTTGAAAGGTTGAACCTTGAACATCACCATACATCATATTTATAATTAACATTCCTACCTCGACACCATCACAATCAAATTCATTGAAATCTACTTCAAACCATTGTGTCTCGAGAAGGTGATGGTGGCTTTGTTCCACCTCCAGTTTTTGATGTTTCACGGCGATAAGATGACAACTCTTTTTTTGTATTCAATTTAGTGCACTTCCACTGATTCATCAATTGTTTTTTGTCTCTTGTCCTTATATTTGCTAGATTAAATCTGATGAAATATTCTACGACCCTATATATCAATAATTGAGAACAAAGATTTAAGCACGAATACTAATAAGGAGAAAATGAAGGCTTGGAGCGATATAACAGAGAAGTAAACATTTTAATAAGTACCTGCATCTCAAAAAAATGACCACATTATCATCAGCACTTCCACTGATTCATCAATTGTTTTTTGTCTCTTGTCCTTATATTTGCTAGATTAAATCTGATGAAATATTCTACGACCCTATATATCAATAGGGTCGTAGAATATTTCTAAAAAGTTGCTGTAACAAACGCAATAAACAAAAGCAATGAATAATGGTTCATGTTTCAGTTTTAATCAACAATAATACTCGATAATACATACGGATAGTTAACCTCAATTGTATTGAAGCACTCAGGAAGGTTAGCACAGTTTTTTCACAAATATTTTATATTATTTCACAAATATTTTGTATAATGAAAATAACTAGGTATATAATTATTAATTTTAAACAATAATTAAAACTCCTATATTTGTTTAAAAGGTAAATGTCATTGTCAGATGTCAATTGTCATGGTCATTCAAAATTCTTGTTAAGCTGCTAAGCTAGAATATGCGTGAAGTTAGCTTCACGCATATTCTATTTCTTTTTACTTGTAGTTTGTCTTATTCCCATCTCGCTCGCGCACGCTATATCACACTCCCAATTTTGTGTCATAGGTGCGCGCGCAATCGTAAAATTTCACTCTCATCAATTTTTCATAACGCGCCTAAAGAAGTACAACTTCAAAAACTTTTAGGGACTTCATCAAAAATATGTCAATAGTCGTTGGCACACACACGATGTATAAAGGCGGTGACCGATACAAGATTAAGAAATTTATCCCTCATGAGAAGTATTCTGGGAATTATTTTAAGAATAACATAGCCATCATACAGATCGAAGGCAAATTCAAATTCAGCGATAAGGTTCAACCCATTGAGTTGTTAAAAGAAATGGCACCCATTGGAAAGAAATGCCTCTTGACTGGCTGGGGATACGTAAACAATGTGAGTAGATTCATATAATTGATAAAATAAATGTTTTTAGAAATTTATCAATGTTTCTGGGTCATCGGGGTGCTTTAAATAATGGTGGATTTTATTTATACTGTATATTAACTACTCGCGTACATCAATAGAATATAAGCGCGATAATTAAATGTTAATTGCAATGTAACAGTTAAAGAGAGTGTCTACTTTTGGCTATACTCTCAGGGCGTAACTCCGACGATTTAGGTAATCGCCACGCTTATTAAACTAAAAAAACCTAAGTGAGTAAAATGGCTGTACAATCAGTTTTGTAATATTCTGCACTGAGACCCTGATTTCTTCTACAAATTTATAACAAGCAAAAGTTAATTTTTTTTTGTCAAAATTTTATGTATGGAACACATAAAACAAAATAGTAAAAAAAACGTGTGCGTTCTAGGACCGTAACGCGTTACGTAACGAAGCGGTTTACATAAGAAATGAGTAAAAAAAATGGCATTCAGGATAGGTGGCATTATTTTAACATCGTTACGTCAATAATGGAATTATTTATAAAAAATATACAAAACACTTAATTCTCTCCTTGATAAACAAATGTTGTGTATTATTACAGGGAAGGAAACCTTTACCAAACAATCTTCAAATGTTGGAGTTCGAAACTATAAGCAATAAGGACTGCACTAGACAATTAAAAAAGTCGCCTTACCCGAGATTGCTGCCTTTAGACGACGGACAACTCTGCGCTGAGCGCCCGGACCACAAAGGTGCATGCACTGTAAGTAATCAAAATAATGTGCACAATTTTTAATAGATAATAGTTTCACGTTATAATCGGGCTTTATCAAAATGGTTATAAATATATAGGTCACATCACTCATAGTACCTGGATAGTGAATGTCTTCAAAAGTTCCGGATTTCTATGTTTGCATTTAACACTCGCTCATACGGTGAACCTGGTGGAAAAAAATTACTGATCATCTACACACCTAAAAAAAATGAGCAAATTGTTCGCTCTAAGGACAAAACCCAGAATCACACACTTCTGGATTATTGTTATTAAGAGAAGCAGATCAATAAGTGTACATTTACAATATAATACATTCCTGTAAATCAATACCTTTAAATATTTTTATTTCTCATGCAGGGAGATTTTGGTAGTCCTCTCGTCATTCAGGACGACAAGAACAAAACTCTTCAAATAGGACTCGCGTCCTGGGTAGTTCCCTGCGCCGAAGACTATCCCGATGTATTTTCTTCAATCCATGGTTATTACGATTGGATACAGAGCAAAATTAAATGAATTATTTAATAATTCAAGATGAAACATCGAATAAAAATAAATATCGTTTGAAATAAAAGTATATTTAAAAAAAAAACACCTAACCCCTACGATTGTACATTAAGGGGAGATAATGACTGGTTGTTACCACCCACCAGCGTTGCCAGATTTTTTTATTGCCAAGGCGGGATTTTGGAACTTTTTGAGTTAAAAAAGCGGGAATCTCTCGTCGAAAGCGGGACATAGTAACTAAAGGTGATATTTTAAATCAGATTTACCCTATCGTTAAATACTTGTTTTCTTAGTATACAAATCTAAAAAAGGTATTCATTAGACAATTATGGCGTTTCAAACAATAGTCAGAACTCTAAGTATTACAGTTAGAGAATATTTTTTTTAAGACTTACTTATTCTTTGTATTTTTGTGAAGATTTAGCTTATTTTAAAGTTTCCTCTTTCTCTTTAATAAAGATGACGAACTCTTCATAAGATAGCTGTAGATTAATCTAGATGAGCTTTAATTTACAGACAATTTGTTTCTGGCATCCGCCCATTTAAATTATAATTTATCTGAGATAAATGGCATTGGCAATGCAGGGAAGCAGTTTGATGTTGCGATACCTAATATGAAAGATAGTAGTTTAAACATATTCCTGGTATCTTTTTTTGGTAGATGTTAAAAGAGCTGGTGCCATTTCTGTGCATGGCAGTGGTGTCTTGAGTGGCGGTTGAGTTAACCCAAAAAGCGGGAAAAAGTCTGTCCCGCGCGGGGCATTTCATTTTCATTAAAAAATCGGGACGTATGCAAACGCTGCCACCCACAACTATGAGATGCCCACGAGCGCACTCGAAAAAAATGACCCAATTCAAGGTGCATTTAGGTAGTCCAACTATAATTTCAAAATGGCGACCAAATTCGAGCATAATAACTTTTCGTTAATTAATCGGTAATTTTCAAATTTGTATTGAAAATTATAAAAGATATTTAAATTGATAATAATTTGATAAATTACGTCGTAATATAAGGAGCAGTGTTGGCTTAGTGGCTTTTCTGTCTAAATAAACATTTAACATTCGCTTGTACGGAAAAGGAAACTTTATGGGTCTAAGGCGAGTCAGAAGGCTGATCGGCTTGCTCATCAGTTGCCATTTAGAAAAACTTAATTCTCCTCAAACAGACTTAGAGTGGCGGAGAGTTTCTTAGCAGTTCTTCTTGCGGTACGCTCTTGACTTGCGAACTGATAGTAAATGTAAAGCCGAACGAGTTCGACTTCGGGTCCTTCAAGAAAAGAGTGTAACAATTCTTATTCTTAAAAGGCTGGCATAGCGCTTGTAAGCCTTCTGGCAGTGGAAGAGTCCATGGGCGGCGGTATTTAAGAATGTTCGTGGATGTTGTAATAAAAGGAATATTTAATTAATACTATTTATTCTGAGATTAACAAGTACGACATTTTGTGCAGTAAGAATTACCTTCTTAACATTGATATACAAAAACCCAAGATGCACAATCAACGTCTAAAAAACGTCCTCAAAAAATGAGCGCAACATTCTAAATTGTGCGCTCATTTCAAATAGTCTCGCGTCTATAAGTGGAGTCGATGTTATTTATTTGTGTTTTTTTATAAATAAATTTATGTACTCTTGAACTTTTTTGTGTGTAGTTTTTGACAAATATATTTACGCTATATAAAGTGTGGGTCAGGAGGTAGCCAATTTAACATTTTTTTTTAATTTAAGGAAAAAACCTTTTTAACCGGATTAATGTTATGTATTATTATAAATTTACAACTATTTAACATCCAACACCTTTTGTCTTCAGTCACCGTGACCACTCACGCTGTAAAGCACCCAAAAAGTCGGATAAATTTAAAATTATGTTAAATAGTTGTAAATAAAAAAGTCATGTTCGACTCCACTCAATACCTTGTTCTACCGACCACGGTCGGTCGTAAAATTTTATTGCTTTAAGTACGTATACAGTGCGTTGTAATAACAACTTTAAGCAATTCGCGTAAGGTTGATTTTGCAATAATATATGCTTGTAACATATACTGTTATGGACAGAAATAGTGTTTCGGGACACTTTCGAGCGTTATTTTTATTCGAGACTGTGCATCTTGGGTTTTTTGTATATCAATGCTTCTTAAGTAAGTAAAGGTCCTCTCGTGACATAATTTGGTACTAAAAATTGGTTGCGTACCAAAAATACATAATATTCTAACAACTTAACATCAGGTCCTGCCCCTCTGCCTCCTGTAACATAGAAAAAATTTTTTAGAATTAATTTAACTTCTTTTCTAACATTCATAAGTGTACTTGTTTACCTATATGAATAAAGTTATTTTTAGTTTGAGTTTTTGAAATCTAATGTATTTATTGTATATAATGTTGTTTGGAATAAGATGACCAGTTTTGGTATTCACAACACCGCGCATTCACATCATCACTGACATCACATCGTAGAACCGCTGATGCTTTTAGCGATCGACATTTTCTCTTCATTGATGTCTTTGATTAAAATTATGTTACAAATACTAATAAAATATACCTTCTATTTATATTATTATCAATTTACAAAGGCTTCTCAAGGTTAGGCCGAGTCTGGGGAAGGTCGATGCACTTATCTCCAAAACCCACAAATGTCAAGGAGGTTCGCCAGTTTGTAGGCTTAGCGGGATATTTTTGTCGCTATATATCAGGTTATGCTTCTAAGACGGCATGTATAGCAAAGTTGTTAAGAAAAGGGTTACCATTTTTGTGGTGTGCTGAGCAGGATACTGCTCGCGATTATATACAGGGTGGCCAAAAAGTCGTGGATCAAACGCAAATAGGGGATAGATGAGGTCATCAGCGGCAAAAAATTGTTCTACGGGAGGTCTCTAAGGTCAACCCCTGCAGAGTTATGATTTATTTTGGTTTTAAAATTCGAAAAAATCTACATCCTGTATCTTTTTCATAATATCCACTAGATTGGTACTGATGAGTTCTTGCGTTAGACATACTATTTATAGTTGTTTATTGAGTGTATTGAAGATAATATTAAGTTATACGATATAATTTTTTTTCAAATCAAAACTTTTTGTTTATTTCGGACCCCACTGTGAAAAAAAATTACTCTACCGAAAAGTGACCCTGCATTACAAGTTTTGGCGCATTTAATATGGATTCTGAAAAGGTATTACACGTGGCCATGAGTTGCTCTAATATCTTTCTAGGAAGAATTACAAACAACGATTGTGAAATAATAATTGTATTAAAACAATTATTTCTCAATTGTTGTTTGTAGGAAACAAAATATTTTACAATAAAATATGCTCAAAATTCCTGACTCTGACCATAATACTTAATCTGCACCGTCTAATCAAATTCCTACGTAACCCTCCAGCCATCTGTCCAATTTTTTGAATCTAGTCCGATTCACACAGTACTGGTCACAGGTAGGTAAATAATCTATCATAAGTCCGAATCGTTGTTGTTTTTTCGTTCTAGAAAGATATTAGAGCGACTCATGGCCATGTGTAATACCTTTTCAGAATCCATATTAAATGCGCCAAAACTTGTAATACAGGGTCACTTTTCGGTAGAGTAATTTTTTTTTCACAGTGGGGTCCAAAGTAAAGAAAAATTTATGATTTGAAAAAATGTTATATCGTATCACTTGATATTATCTTGAATACACTCAATAAACAACCATAAATAGTATGTCTAACGCAAGAACTTTTCAGTATCAATCTAGTGGATATTATGAGAAAGATACAGGATGTAGATATTTTCGAATTTTAAGAAGATTTAGTAAAAAAAAGTCAATTTTCATATATAAACAACAAAAAAAATCATAACTCTGCAGGGGTTGACCTTAGAGACCTCCCGGATTTTTTGCCGCTGATGACCTCATCTATCCCCTATTTGCGTTTGATCCACGACTTTTTGGCCACCCTGTATATATATATTTTTTTTTTAAGACAATTCACACTAATTGACCTAGTCCCATGCTAAGCTGGTGAAGCTTGTATTATGGGTACTAGGCAACGGATATACATACATATTATAGATAGATAGACATATAAATACATATTTAAACACCCAAGACCTAAGCACAACACCAAATGCTCATCACATCGATGTTCGTCTCAGCCGGAGATCGAACCCGGGACCCATGGATTCGCAGTCAGGGATACTAACCACTAGACCAATGTGTCGTCGAATAATTCACTGTTTGACAAATGAACCGGTTTTAGCGATATTCAGTCCCCAGCTGCCTACGGAACTTCACACCGATGCAAGTCCTATTGGTCTTGGTGCTATTTTATTACAAGATCACGCCGGTAGGAGAAAGAGGGTTGTCGGTTATTTTAGTAAATCCACCCAGGGCGCAGAGTCGCGGTACCACAGCTATGAGCTGGAGACGTTAGCTATCGTTCGTGCGCTCCAGCACATCCGCCACTATTTGATTGGTATAACCTACACCCTCTGTCTTCTTTGCCGATGAGTAGGGATGCCTTCAAATTCAAATTAAATGAAGTGGAATAAGTGATACCTGTATCTTATGTTCCATAATAAACATATTTTTTTTTAACCTTTAAAAAAGTGACTGATTGAAATTCATTAAAATTGACATTTTTTTTACAGTCGCGTGTATCTGTGACTGCGTTGCGTGTAAACATCATAACTAGTATTGTTATGATGGCGCATGAAAAAAAATTAAATTATTTAAAAAAAATATTAATATACTTACCTAACCTAACCGAACAATATTAATAATAGGTTTTTTGGACAGCTCCGGCGCAACGGGAAATGCAGCCCCTCCGCCCTTGCGTTCCAAAGCACAGGCATTTTATTTAAGCCTCCACAGCTTCGGCTTTTTGATCGACTCCGGCGACCAGCCTTAGCCGCTATGGCTTGCATAATGCCTGTGCTTTGTTATAGCGGGTGGGGGCTGCTCTTCCTCCGCACCTCCGATTTTTTATATCGACGTAGGAAAGCACATTTGCTGTAAGTAGACATATTGCAATTGTTCACCA